GCCTTCTTTAAAATTCAATGCATATGTAAAGAAATATACGGTAACCCGAATTTACCACACTCGCAAAATCGCACACAGCCAACCATACACCCAGTATGGTATCGCGATTCGTGATTTTGCGCTATCATACTGGGTGTATGGTCGGCTGTGTGCGATTTTGCGAGTGTGGTAAAATCGCATAACAGCAAAATCGCATAACAGCCGAGCATACACCCAGCAGCGCTGCTGATGCCTGAACGGTATGTGGAATGAAGTGGGCGGGCATCGGGAGGCCACTATGGCACGGGGCAAGCACTATGGGCAGTCTATCTGAAGTGTACCTGGCGTATAAGACGACCCCCCACTTGGAGGCATATTTTTCAGGGCCAAAAAATCGTCTTATACGCCGGCAAATACGGTACTTCTACCGACATTGTATTTTTCACTCATTAAAGATGTAAACAATATCTTAGATTAAAAATCCCTGAATTAATTAGTGGCATGGGGAACGTGCACTTATTATGCTGTTAAGCTACAATAATTTTAAGAAGATGATCGGTAAATATATGAAACAAATGAAAACCAATGACTTGTAGTCTGTTTTATACCAAGTATATTTTCTTTTTTTCCCCCACACAATTTCAAAATGTGGCACTTTAAGAAGCACCTCACATTCCTTTTATTTTTTTTTACCACAAATAATACAACTGGCGAGGTATTGGTTCTAGAACAGAGAGATTAATGGAACATTGATAAACATTCAATAAATATAATTATGACTGAACCATTTTGTATAAGATAAAGGTGACATTTCAAATGTGGAAGAAGAGGATATTGGGACCACTGAATAATCATTTTGAAAAATGTAAAATTAGTAACACTGTATATACCAAATTAAACCCCAGAAGACTTAAAGGCATTTAAAAAAAGTAAGCCTTAAAAGTACTAGCACATAATGTAAACATTTGTATATATGTGGAAGAGGAAAAACTTTCAAAGCAGGACAATCAAACCACAAGTCAAGAAATAAAAATAGATAGATCTTATTATATTCAATTTTTTTAGGAGCTTTTGTACAAAGTTACAGGCAATGACCAAACCTTAATGAAAAATATTTGAGACACATAGGACAAAAAAAAAACACCCTTAAAAATTACTATGAAAATAATGATAATCAAATAGAAAAGTGGATATTGGGTTACCATGGGTAATTCCCTAAAGAAAAAGAAATATGGCAATAACAGTATTTAATAGTTCACCTTCAAAGTGATAAACAGTATTGAAATCAGTATGATAATCCAACACTAAGGTAAAAACATTACTAACATTTATTAGTTTCAACCTTTTGCTTAGAATGTAAATTGACTTCAGTTTTTCTGAAGTGAAATTTGTAGTGTGTCACATTTTTAAAAATGTGCTTACCCATTACCAACAATTCTGGTGTTAGGAATTTATTCTAAATAACTAATTCAATAGTTGTGTTTTTTTAATAGTGAAAATTGAAAGTAACCTCTTAGTTCATTGATTATGAATTGGTAAAATAAGTTATGGTATAACCATTCAAAATGATAATGTAATTGGTGAAAGTAATCATAGCTAACATATATGTCAATTACATAGCTAACATTTTATGAGGTGTCAGGCATATTCTAAGAAAAATATATATATTCTTAATTTAAAACTTTAGCTCTTTTTTGTTTAAAAACAAATACATAAACATGTATATATTAAGAGAAACGATCTATCACATTTGTGTATGTTTGTGGGTGGTGTATGTCTGTACGTGTGCGGTTAGGCAAAGAGAAACATCTCAGTGATTATACACCAACTAGTGGTCTTCTCTAGATTGTGGAATTACTGGTAGTAGTTGTTTCATTCCTTTATACAATCTTTTTTCTGAATGTTTGGCAATTAGTATATTTCAGTGATGTTTTTAACAAATAGTTTTTTATGGAAATATCACAGTTCCCTGAAGGTACAGAAAGCTCTTGGATTATTTCATTTTCCCCTTAAAATTACCTTAGATACAACTGTTATATTAAAGCTGATATATTTCATTTTTGTTAGAATGAAAAAAAACTTGAGAGAGAGAAAAAGAGGCAAAATGTGGAGAAAGACTGTGATGCTTGCCCCCTGAGAAATAAAATGGAGCGTGAGCAAATGGAAACACAGAGCCAGATCAGTGACAGTAGCCAGAAAAGCAATGAGTTTGCAACCATAGAAAATTATAATGAAGCATTAACACAGCAGTTGGAGAATGAAGAGACAGACCAGCCATCATCAGAATCAGGTAAATCTAGTTATTAAATAAAAAAGATATACATATATAACTTAATTATACTTCTTTCAACTGGCCATTATTTTCACACACAAAATTTTTTTTATCTGCAAATGCAGTATTTATCATGGTTTTCTCATGGTTTTTACTCATTAGTTAGTTTGCTAACTTATGTTTTTATTCATGCTGTCTTAAAATGTACTCTTTTGTAGCTTGAATTTCAGCAGAAATATTTAATTTTACTTTCATAAATTTGGAATATAGCATAGCCCAGGAATCCTTGGAATGTATTAAATACCTTTAAGCCTTTTTGAGGTTTTCCTTGTTTCTTTTTAAGACTGATAATGCTATAATCAGCCTCACTTTATTTATTGACATGCTATTTCTGTAGGATGCAAACATAATTAGTTGAACATTCTAAAAGTCTTATCACATAGTCATTTTCCTCTTATTTTAATATCAAAAAATTTCAATTCATAATTATTTTTCTTTTTCTCAGTAGTTATGTAATTTAACAGGAAATTCATGTCTTTTGGTATCATAAAGACACAGCCTGTGTCTGGAGTCAGACAACCTGGGATAGAACCCTGACTTTTCCATCTACTAGACCAGTGGTCGGCAAACTCATTAGTCAACGGAGCCAAATATCAACAGTACAACGATTGAAATTTCTTTTGAGAGCCAAATTTTTTAAACTTAAACTATATAGGTAGGTACATTGTAATTAACTTAATTAGGGTACTCCTAAGGCTTAGGAAGAGCCACACTCAAGGGGCCAAAGAGCCGCATGTGGCTCGCGAGCCGCAGTTTGCCGACCACGGTACTAGACACATGCTATGTTATATGATGTTCTTCAGTCTTCCTCATCTCTCAAATGGAAATAAGCATCATTTTTAGAGGGATTTTAGGATTACTTATAGTAAGAATAACCCTACAATGTTCGAGCATGGGCCGTGACACATGGGAGCTACCTAAATTAATTAGTTCCTTGCCATTCCTTGTTAGCAGTATGGTTCCATTATATATGAGAATTTTTATGTAGTATCAAAAAGTTTATAAAAATAAGATTTCAATCTTGAGGTATAGATTAGCTAACATGGATATTTTGCTATATAGCAATAATTAGATTTGAAAGTTATACTTTTTGTAAGTTTGGAAGTATTATAAAAGTAAATATATTACTCATAATTCTGAGGTTCTTGAATATTTTCAGTTGAAATGTCTCATGAAAAATTATTTTTTCAAGTGTCTATAGACGGTTATGGCATTTAAAATCGTACATCTTGTCTGTGGCTGTGCTGAGACCCCACCTTGGATCATGTGGTCTATCTTGTAAACTCTTTCATGACCCAAACTACTGTCCATCCTAAAGTACCATATCATTATGGAGGCTCGCTTTCCTTTCTTCTAGCTGTGAAGCTTGCAGCATTAATTGTAGAAAGATGTCTTTGTTTCTATCTGGAGTAAATGTGTCAAATTACACTAACTGATTTAGAAAATATGTTTCTAAATATTGTTGTATTTCTCATTGCTTTTTAAATTAGATTTTGTAGATGTTGACTATAGTGTGTACCCCCAAAATGTATACACACACTTTGAGTAATTATAAAGGCAGTGTTTATTAAAATACATTTCATTTTCAAAATTGAGCTATCAGCTTTTACAGTGTGTATACATTTTAAAAAGTAATTTCTTAAGTAATAGATAATTCCCATCTTAGAAAATATATAGTATATAAAGTAAGTTTGGGATTGTCAATGAAAATATTTCAGTAACTTTAATGTTTGTTTATTTAACAACTATGCCATCTTGACTTACATTGTTAAAGTCTACATGTTAACAGCATACACGTCCTTAAAATGTAATTACACTCTAATTATTTTTTTTCAAAGAACACAAGTTCAGTTCTGCAAAGTCTAATGTGGGTTTTGATTATATATATATTTGGGCATACCTTATTTGGGGGTTATTTTAATGGGTAATGTGTTTAGGTTTGATTGGGGTCTTTTTCACATTTCAAAGAATTATTTTGGACTATTTATACCTAGAATATATTATATGAACTTTCTTTGTATTCCGAATAACTTCTTTTAGAACTTAGAATACAGGCTTTTGTTATTTGTATCATATTCATTAATTATTTAATAAGGAAACATTAATAGCTTAATTCTTAGTAAAAGCAAGTTCATATTTCATTACTAGTAATAATTTCAAGGTTGAACTGAAGGTATATTTCTATGGTAATAATATCAATATTCTAGTTTTGTTCTTAATTTTCATTATAGAAGTTTAATTTTTCCCAATTCCATGTTTCAATTCCGTAGATAACAGTAAAAAGAAAACTAAGAAACTAAGAATAAAAAGAAGTCACCGTGTAGAACCTGTTAATACAGATGACTCTGCTCCTAAGAGTCCAATACCACCCCCGCCGCCCCCTCCTGGTGAGTAATTTAATATCGATACTGAATTTAGAAATACTGCTTTAAACAATGAAGAAAAAGGAAGAAATTGTGTAGTTTTTATTCAGTATATTCATTATCTTGTAAATTTGTGAAAAGTTAGAGTTCTTTGCTCTCTTTTGTTCATATTTTATCAACATAAGTTACCTATTGCTTTTTTAACAATAAAAAATGTAAAGTTTTGTAAAAAAAAAAAAAGTAAAAATTAATTAAAAAATCTTACGCAGGCACTTCCCAGAATGGATTCAGTCCTATTTAAAATACCAGGGCACAGATGCTAAAAGAAATTTAAGCTTATTGAATGGATGGCTAATATGAGCTTTTAAAAAATTGCATCTTTCATCCTGAAAGTAAACATTTGAAACCAACATATGTGAATTTTTCCATTATATTTTCAATTTACATACTGGCCTTCTAAGTTTGTTATGAGAATTAAATGGAATACTGCAGGTAAAGTCCTGGGACTTATTAGCTGCATGATATTTGTAATTTTTCAGCACTAGACACAGAACCTCGTATACTATAGGTGCTTAATAAATACCTAAACATATATGTTTATAGTGTCCTTTTAGCTCAGACAGAAAGCTTTAGATGGCAACATTTTCCTTTGAGAATTATTTGAAGACTCATTTCTAGTATTCCATTTAATAAGTAAACATTTCTTATAGCTTCTGGTAGAGTTTACAACAATAGCCTAAGGTTATTTATGGTAGTAGTGAAGATGATTATATTTTTAACTGAAGGCAAATAAAATAAAAATCTAAAGCAAATGTTATCAGCCTACAGTGATATTTTAAAATAGAAGTCATTTAAAATGGGATTATGGCTATTCAGTACTGTGTCATTCAGTATATATGAATTGACATTAAATGTTATATACATTCCTGTCTAGGGAGGGATCCTCTCAACCAACCTAAAGATATATTATTTAACAGTGTTTTAAATGTTTTTCTTTTTCTTTAGTTGGCTGGGGAACCCCCAAAGTCACTAGACTTCCAAAACTTGAGCCTCTTGGTGAAACACGTCATAATGGTAATGCGAAAGGATCAGTTTTCAAATATCTGTACATATTACATTCACTTTTCTTTACCTCATTACTTCAGCAAACTTTTATTTTTGGAAGCCTTTCAAATCCACAGCCATCCTTTTTCATTATACATCTTCTTTTTCTATTTAATTTTTTAATTCTTAAACCCCTTTGCCTCTAAATAATTTGAATTGATGTTTACCTTAGAATACAAAAATAAAAATGTTTTTCCATTATTTATTTATGTAAATAGTAATGGATAGGGAAAGGCTTTACAGCAATTTAAATTAAATACACATTACAATTGTAGTGCTTAAAAACTTCATTGTCTTATATGTATGTACTCAATATACTGAATGATGTCATATAATTGTTCTTCCTCTGCTTCTAATAAGACACCAACCTGCTGAATATTAAAATGAAGTAAAAAGATCAACACAGTTGTAGAATCAGACTAATGAAAGTATACCAAATAAACTTCAGCTAACTAGAAAGTTACGAGGGCTTTATTGCCTCAAGAAAGTAATTTTCTTTAGATGAAATTGACATAAGGTATAGTCTAGCCAGCATATGGCATTAGAACTCCACAACTGGAAAACTAGAGAAAGGGCCTTTGGGAGTAGAGGGCTGCCTTGTACCAGGCAGAATTTCTGATTTTAGACCATCAGCCCAAATTCTTTCAAAGATATATTTCTGGAATGCAAAAAGGATAATATATGTATATTATAGCTCAATAGATTTCTCCATCAATAACATCCAATTTGCTTTTTTTCTGTATTTATGCTTTTATTTTTTTTATTGATTAAGTTATTACATATGTGTCCTTATACCCATGATACTCCCATCCCCCCCACTCATGCCCTCATCCCCCTGTTGTCTGTGTCCATTGGTTAGGCCTATATGCTTGCATGTAAGTCCTTTGGCTGATCTCTCTCCCTTACTCCCACCCTCTCCTACATTCCCTATGAGGTTTGATGGTCTGATCGATGCTTCTCTGTCTCTGGATCTGTTTTTGTTCATCAGTTTACGTTGTTCATTATATTCCACAAATGAGTGAGATCATGTGGCCTTCATCTTTCTCTGACTGGCTTATTTCACTTAGCATAATGCTCTCCAGTTCCATCCATGCTGCTGCAAATTGTAAGAACTCCTTCTTTTTTACCGCAGCATAGTATTCCATTGTGTAGATGTACCACAGTTTTTTAATCCACTCATCTGCTGATGGGCACTTAGGCTGTTTCCAAATCTTAGCTATGGTGTATTGTGCTGCTATGAACATAAGGGTGTATATATATCCTTTCTAATTGGTGTTTCTAGTTTCTTTTTTTTTTTTATGGGATTCAAACTTTATTTGTAGGTAGTAGAAAACCAGTGAAAATTTTTTGAGTATCTTATTTTTTTTAAGTATCTCATTATTTATTTTAAAGTAGTAACTCCATTCCTAATGTAGAGACAGTGCTAGCAAAATGGAATTTTTTTTTATTTTTACATTCTTTTTTTTTTAAATTTTGTTTTATTGCTTAAAGTATTGCAAAGAGTATTACATATGTCTCCTTTTATTTCCTCCCCTTGACCTTCCCCTTTCCTCTCCTACCCCCCAGTGTCTTGTGTCCATTGGTTATGCTTATATGCATGCATACAAGTCCTTCGGTTGATCTCTTACCCTCCCCCTGCAACTTTTTTTTTACTCCATACTGTTCTCCACAGTGGCTGCACCAGTCTGCATTCCCACCAGCAGTGCACAAGGGTTCCTTTTTCTCTGCATCCTCGTCAGCACTTGTAGTTTGTTGATTTGTTGATGATAGCCATTCTGACAGTGTGAGATGACACCTCATTGTCGTTTTGATTTGCATCTCTCAGATGATTAGTGACTTTGAACACGTTTTCATATGTCTTTTGGCCTTTCTTCTGTCTTCTTTTGAAAAGTATTTATTTAGGTCCGTTGCTTATTTTTTGATTGAGTTGTTTATCTTCCTCTTGTTAAGTTGTATGAGTTCCTTGTAAATGTTGGAGACTAAACCCTTATTGGTGATAACATATGCAAGTATGTTCTCCCATGTAGTGGGGATTCTTGTTGTTTTGTTGATGGTTTCTTTGCTGTGCAAAAGCTGTTTATTTTGATGTAGTCCCATTTGCTTATTTTCTCTTTAGTTTCCATTGCTCTAGGAGCTGTATCAGTGAAGAAATTGCGTCGGCATATGTCTGAGATTTTGCTGCCTATGGATTCCTCTAGTATTTTTATGGTTTCCCATCTTATGTTTAAGTCCTTTATCCATTTTGAGTTTATTTTTGTGTATGGTGTAAGTTAGTGGTCTAGTTTCATTTTTTTGCGTGTATCTGTCCAATTTTACCAACACCATTTATTGAAGAGGCTGTCTTGACTCCGTTGTATGTTCATGCAATTTGCTTTTTGATGACTCTGTTTACCTAATCTAGAGTTTGGTTTCCTACAGAGATCCATCTATTAGAGAAAAAAAAGTCAGAATTGTAATCTTTAAAAAAGCTTTATTTTACTATATAATTTGAAATTATATAAAACTGTATAAAATACTTTTATTCAAAGAGTATATAAATATAAGTGTGCTCTTTGCTTTCTTTTTCAGAATACTATAGGTCAGTAATGAAATATTTCTTTAAAATATTTATTTTCATTTCTAAAAACAGAAAAGTTTGGCCCTGGCCAAGTAGCATAGTTGGTTAGAGTATGATCCTGATATGCTAAATTTATGGGTTCAATCTCCTGTCAGGGCACATACAAGAAGTAATCAATGAATACATAAATAAGTGGAACAACAAATTGATGTTTCTCTTTCTCTCTCAAAATCAATAAAATAAATAAATACAGACAGAAAAGTTTGTCCTTAGGCTATATCGGAATTATAGTGAAATCACATCTGTTTGGTTGACTGACTTTACATCAAATACTTTTATTGACTATGATAGGTTAGTTCCTATTTTATTATATTCTGAAATTATGTAAGTTAAAATACATTCTAATGTGAATGTGTAATTGGAAACAAAAATATAATGTATACATTAGGTGCAACTTTTTATTAAATGAAGTAGAGATTAATTTATAATCTAGAGTTAAGAATTTACTCTATGGTTGTCTTTTATTTTTTTTTACTTTTTTATTTTTTAAATATATTTTATTGATTTTCCACAGAGAGGAAAGGAGAGAGATAGAGAGCCAGAAACATCGATGAGAGAGATACATCGATCAGCTGCCTCCTGCACATCTCCCACTGGGGATGTGCCCGCAACCCAGGCACATGCCCTTGACCGGAATCAAACCCAGGACCCTTCAGTCCGCAGGCCGACGCTCCATCCACTGAGCCAAACCGGATTTGGCTATGGTTGTCTTTTAAATTTATTCAAGTTTTCTTTGAGTTTGTGATTTTCTCCCATTGCTTCATCTGTCAAGTCAGATCTCTTTTTATTTTTTAAGGTATTAGTTGGCAAATAATGAATTGTGTCAGAAATATTTATTTACCATAACTGTTTGGTATTTTTATTATTCCTTCTCTACATAGATTTTTATGGGAAGCCACTGCCTCCGCTGGCGGTGCGACAGAGACCAAACAGTGACGCTCATGACATGATCTCATAACCGAGTTGCATGGATGAGCCGCCTTAATATCAGCAAGATGACCTAGAAGACCTTCTTTCTCAAAAAAGGAAAACCCTGTACATTGATGACTGGGGCAAGATTACCGTAGCAATTTCAGCGAGGAGTTTGATAACCAAAGATCTCACTGATCTGATAATTACTTTTCCATGTTGTTCATGGTTTAATAAAAAAAAAGGAAGCAAAAAGACCAGCAGATGGGATGAGCATTATGTACCAAATTAGCAGGAGTTAGTATTGACTCTGGTTTATACATCCCCTTGGGCATATTCCTGAAGGAAAACCTTTCAGAAAAAGCCAGTGGACTTTGCACACTTTCATTACTATTTGTTTAATAGTCTTTATTTCTGTACCGTAAACCTTTTTTGTAAGATACATGTGAATGGAAGGGGAACTCTTGGGAATTTATAACCTAAATTTTTAACTTTTTATATTTTTCTAAAACTTTTGTTTAAGAATTTTATTACTATGATATTGACAGTATACTTTTCTATAGATGCTTTGTTTAAATTGTATCTGGAAAATAGAGTTGGTATACTGGACAAACATTAACTATACAAATGATATATTTATATGTTTTGAGGTATGTTTTATAATAGTATTGTTCTTGAAGTATACATACTAATTTGACCTAATTTTAAAATAATACTTTTTAAAAATAGATTCTCAGATCTCTATTCTAACAAATTATATTATTTGAAAGCACTACCCAAGCAGAAGGTTCAATTTTTTGTTGTTGTTTTCTTTGATGACGATCCTAATAAAAGAGACTTGAAAAATGAAATAGAAAGGTTATGTGAGATATTATTAAAAGTCCCAATAAGCCCCTCTTTAAAAGGTAAAACCCTTCAGAGATCATTTCTCCTTGTCACTCCTTTGTCTATCAGTAGCTACAGTGACTCGTAGGTTATTGTAATTCTTTAGTGCCTTGAAATTAAAGGCAAAAAGACCGAAAAGCTACTGAAGTTTCAGAAACTTGTGTTTCATAACAGGGATATACTTGAGTACTAAAGCAAGAATGAAGAAACAATTCCAAAATAATTTTTATAAATAAATAATTCCAAAATGATTTCCCATTTAAAAATAATAGCATTTCTCTTGCACAGAAGAATGGCATCTATAGGATTCTTTGTCTGGCTTTTAGATGTGTGTTTTGAGGAGTAGATTCATAATGTTGCATTTAATTGAAAGCACATATTTCTGTCACGGTAAAAATACTACAAACGGTATGATTCCTATATAACCTTGTCAAAATTGGTTAACTTGGTAACTTGTACTGACAATACTATGAGAAGTATGTTGAAGGCAGTTTAGTGTGATTATTTGAAAGTTTTACTTGAGAGCATCACCATTTATTTGCATTTTAAACTTCCTGAACTTTCATTAATCAGGTCACTTATTACTCCAGCCAGCTTTTTGAGTTTTGTACATGGAACCCACCTAGCATTCTACTTCAGATATAAAATTCGTAACAGCCTAAATGTGATAGGCAGCTGAAATCAACACAAGGAGACAGATGCAAATTTTGAACTGGATTTTAGAGAAAAAACTCATTTGTATATCTTTTTGGTTTCTTTTGCAACATTTACATTTCTTCATTTAAAAAAAAACTAAACTCATACTTTTGCCATCTTTTTAAAATTCATCTAATTTGAGAATAAATGTGTTTTTTTTAAATTTGTGGTTACTGTAGTATACAATAATCACTGAGCCCATTTAATTAAAATAATTTTGAAATTAAATATTTAATGAAGCAGAATTCATGTTTTATATATCTCAAAAATTAATTTGTATTCTTAAAGGTTTCTAAAAATACTTTAAAAGAAGTTTTGTAAATCCAGGTGGCTTTTAACAGTTAAGTGTCTATTTTGTTATATGCTGCATTTTTATTAACATATCATAAATTATGGCAATTTCAACAATAAACATAATTTATATTAGTATGCTGTTTTTTCTTATCATTTGATAAATTTAAATTATTTATTTGGTGTAATAAAATAATAGAAAGCTTTTAAAATATAATTGTTGAAAGACATTTTAGTCAATAGATTAAAATAATTTTTTGCTATTTTACATGGAAAAAATTTGTAAAAGGTTTCATATATGTGGGAAATAATTTAAAGACAGTTAAAAATCAGATATCATCTTATGATTCTCTATGATTTGATGTCTGTCATTTAAGTTAAAGCTACTGACCAAAAGATATGTTTTTACTTACATGAAAGATAATTCTATATGCCTTTATATGTAAAATGCATATATAACATGTACAATCCTATATAATAAAACCCTAATAAGCAAATCAACCGAATGGCAGAACGACTGTCGGAAGGATCAGTCACTATGACTTGCACTGACCACCAGGGGGCAGACACTCAACACAGGAGCTGCCCCCTGGTGGTCAGTGTGCTCCCACAGGGGGAGCACCGCTCAGCCAGAAGCCAGGCTCATGGCTGGCGAGCTCAGTGGCAGTGGCAGGAGCCTCTCCCGCCTCCGCTGCAGGTGGGAGGTAAGGAGCGAGGGGTCCTAGACTGCAAGAGGCCCAGACTGTGAGAGGGCGCAGGCTCAGCTGAGGGACACCCCCCACTCCAGTGCAAGAATTTCATACGCCAGGCCTCTAGTATTGTATATAATTGATTTCAATTATAAAACTGTATAGAAACAACATTAGAAAGAAGTGTTGCAAAATGCTAATAGTATCTGTTTTAGAGTTATTGGTTGTGTTTTTTCCTCAAATTTTCAAAGTAATTTTTATAATTTTGCTTACTTTTATAATAGGAAAGAAAATTTGAACTTTTTATGCAAGTTTAAAATTAAATACTTGTTTAAGTGTCATATGAACGACTATATAGAATTCACTTAATATGTAAAACTTCCTGTCAGTAGCTCAGAGACATTCAACTGTAGAATATGCCAGTCAGTATATTGGCAGTTGATTTCTTACTAAGTTCTTTTACTAAGACAATATTTTAGTTTACTTGGTTCTATATGCCAAGCTATTTATATTATTCAATTTCTCCCATTCCACACTAAAGAAACCAATGCCTCCAGGTAGCAAAACTTTATCAAAACTGAAACTGAAGCTGTAATTTATAAATTGTAATACCTTTTGCTATAAGTTTTTCTATAAGAGGAGTTTATGTTGCAAATTAGATTCTGTTAATAATGACTATTTAATTTACCAAGAAATATAGTCCAAAAAAAGAAAAAATATATATAGTCCAGCTCATCCAAAGAAAAAATTCAGATATTTCAAAATGCATATTAAAATGTATAAATTAACAAAACAGTGATAATCCTATAGCTTTGTGGAAACAGAAGAGAAGCCCTCTTTTGAGAAAAAAATAGGAAATCATAAATGAATTTCCTTTAATAAGGGGATTAGCTTATAATTAAAGGAAAATCAGGACAAAAATTATTTGCATGTTTAGAACCTGAGTTGTAAATTTCTGTGTGCTGATGAGGAAACAGAATATATGAGTTAGGGAATGAACCAGTGGTCTTCAAATTTTATAATAATGCATCCCTTTCAGTAAGCATTTTGAGTAGACCGGGTGACTTAAATAACTGCAATTTATTTTCTCATAATTCTGAAGTCTGGAATGCCAGGCCAAGGTGTAGGGATGGTTTCTTTTGGAATCTCTCTTCCTTGGCTCAGAGATGGCCTCCTCCCTGTGTCTTCACATGGCCTTGTCTCTGTAGGTTCTCCCCTCGTGTCCAAATATCCTCTTTTTATAAGGACTCTAGTCAGATCCTCCCTAACGACCTCCTTTTAACTTAATCATCTCTGGAAAGACACTTTTCCAAATATGTCACATCCTGAGGGACTGGGAGTTAAGGGCTTCAACATATGAATTTTGAGGGGATACGTTTCAGCTCGTAATAGTTATATGCGCTGGTCTATTGTACTTCATACATACATCCCCCTAAACATTTTTTAAAGATTAGCTAAAATTAAAATACAAGTTATTACATTTACTTCCCAGTCCCAGTGGGTTGTCCGCTGGAATTTGTACACGTGACGTTGGAAGCCTAAATTGAGAGCCTCAGCTAACTAGCTGCTCACCTGAAGTCCAAGTGCCTGTAACTATGCGTGGTTCTCCTGCTTTGATGGCAGGTGTCTCCTGTGTTTTTCTGCCATCTTAATGTTCTCTTTTTAAAAAAAATATTTTTATTTCAGAGAGGAAAGAAAAGGGAGAGAGAGAAATATCCATGATGAAAGAGAATCGTGAATCGGCTGTCTCCTGCATTACCCACTGGGGATGGAGCTCACAACCTGGGCTTGTGCCCGGACCGGAATCGAGCCTGGGACCTTTCAGTTCGCAGGCTGACGCGCTATCCACTGAGCCAACCCGGCTAGGCTTAATGTTCTCTTAATGTCAGATCGTTTTACTATAAAGGCTATCTTTACTTTTTGACACATAAACCTCTATATAAACATGAAGTTTTTGGAGAAATGTCTTATGTAAATATGAATATCCATAAACAGTATAGGAGAGAGTCTATGAAGTATACTTATTCTGAAACATTTCTTACATAAATGACTTCACAATAAAATTGCTTAAGATTGTAAAAAAATACTTTTCTGTTTAGTAGTAACTTATTAAGATGCTGTATTCTAGAAAGTGAATATGCTTTGTAGTTTAAGCATATTCACAGTGCTCATTTCACTTCTTAATACCATATATTTTTTTACGACCAAATCTAAATTTATTTTAGATTCCTGGAGAACTTGTTTAAATAAATAATTTAAGCTTCAAATCACATTAGTGGTAGTAACATTTACTTGTTTACATGGTCCTAAGATTTGCACCTATAGCCTACACACCTACACTGATACTTTTGAGTGTCCAGGGTCTCAAAATCATGATGCTCATTAAATATCAGGGATCACATTAAGCACTGGTTTTCTCTGTTGGGCTGCTGATTGTTGTTACAAGGGAGCAGCTGAAAAGTAGCATTTAAAGAACAAACAAACTGCGGCCCCTCGCCTGAGAGCCGGTAACACCGCCCCTAGCGCAGGGGGAGGGGGCCGGTGTGTGGGTCATTTTGACCTTCAGGCATTTGGTTTCAGAACTTGATAAAGATCATGATAGTGAAAATAATGCACAGCAGCAGCTAACATTCGAGCGTTTACTGATTCCTAGCCTTTGTGCTAAGCGCTCTACTTGTTTATTTTAATCAATTCGATCATGTAACCCTCATTAAAAGAAAAAGATTACCCCACGGGCCATCTCTAGGAAATGTGACATTTCTCTTTCACTTTACCCATCCTTTTATCCTGAGTTCTGCGTATCTGGGCTAACGGAGACGAAATGAGATTTGGTAGATTGATTCGGCAACTAGCTTCGCCTCTGAGAACATCTAAAAACAATTTTTACGGAGCCCCAAGAGCACAAAAAATGTCGGCTCAGCGCGCGGCCGGAGTTCTAAGGCGGGTCCACCCCGGGGCCCCGGCCACGCCCCCAGGAGTAGGCTCCGCCTCCTCCAGCCGCGGATGGAAGGAACTCCGCGAGTGCCTCTCGCGGGACCTACGCCACTTTGGCGAGATTTCGATAACGCTGGCAAAGCTGTATCTCGCGAGAACTTGAAAGTACGTCAAGGAAGGGAATTCCGGCGAAACGCCGAAGCCGGGCGCTTTTGGTTCCTTGGTGCTTAAATGTCGGACGGTGGAGACCTTTTGTTTGGCATCTCCTGGCGGGATGATGTTGGCCCGGGTGAGGGTCGGGCCGGACGCTTATGGAAGGGCCTGAGCGGGGCCGGAGGGCGCTGGGACTCGGGAACTGGGGGGATCCCCGGGTTTCTCTGGTGTCACTGTCCAGAACGCTAGCTCGTGAGCGCTGCCCGTGGTGTTCGTCCGAGACGCCCCTCCGCCGCAGGTAACCTGTGCACCCCGCGCGCGGGCTGCAGGACCTGCGCCGTCGGCTGAGCTGGATGGCGGCTCCTCGGGGGCGGGCGCCGTCGCTCCGCTCAGCCTGGGAGCGCAGAGCAATGCCGGTTACTTAGTCGGCCCTCCGTAAGCCTTTCCTGGACGCGTAAATGAAACAGAATTGCAAGGAAGTCTCCGAGGAAACCAGTGACTTTTCTTCTAAATGAACTTTATTTCGGAATAACTACATTTACCAAAAAGTTCCAAAGATAATACAGACTTCCCATAAGCTTTTCACCCGTCCCCCCTAATGTTAACCTCTAAAATGGTTACCTCCGTTGGCTTTCTGTGTTAACAGCGCTAGACTCTGCTTTTGCCATTGCTGTACATTGGAGCCATAGTCGACTGCAGAAACACTTTTTAAAAAAATCAGTAGGCCGAGCACGTAGTACAGTTTGCTCGTGTGTGAGGTACTGTTCCCATGGCAAGACCTGGTAATTATCTGAGGTCTCCTTAAGAAAAAAGACTGCTAATGGGGAGGTTCAGTAAATTTGTAGTATCAAAGGTGTGTCAGCAACGTTTTCTTATCATCACAGCTGACAGCAGAACCAGAGAGGAAGCTTGCCAAACGGCTTTGCAAAGTGGTGCTGGACCATTTTGACACTCAGTATTCCAGAGAGCTCGGAGAGGCCTGGAGCGCAGCAAGGTTGGTCTGGTCCACCCTGAATCACTCAGTTCTTTGCCAGAGAGTACGAAAGGAGCCGCCGAGGGGAGGGCGCTGTGAGGATGGCAGAGAGGGGTCCAACCTTGGCTGGACGCCTCCGAGGCTGCAGAAGGGAAGGGCCAGGAGAAGGACTCAGTCGTAGGGACACAGTCAGGGCGGAAAAGCCGCAGTGACCGCAAACACAAGTTGTTACGCCCTTGCCTTCAGCGGTTGCTGTGACCTTTGACACGGGCATGCCCACCAGTTTGGCAAAATTAACTATGCTGTAACAGAAATCCCTTTGAAGCTTTTGAGGATATTTGACCTGTTTCTGAAATCCAGAAGGTAATGCAGCACATCTTTAAAGCCAGCACTGCTTTATCTTCGTTAAAGTTTTGGGGGTTTTTTTGGCAATCTTATTTCTTCCCTCTGTATGGCAGCGATATTTTGAACACACGTGGGAGCTGGCGCACACATGTAGATACAGATTCCTTAAATGTATCGTAGAAAACAAGCATTGAACCCGTAGAAGTAAGTGAGGGAAGTCTGATTTGTGTGTGTAGTGAGTTTTTCCTTTTTCGGAATGTTACTCTCTGGGCTCTTCGTACTGAGCTCCTCACATACCGTGCCCTGTGGGATGCAAAGGGCAAGACAGTCCCTGTGTTCACTGCGCTTTTAGTCTGTGGTCACGGGGGTAGGGGGCATGGGTAAAGCTATGTAAACTCTGATTCCGTAAGTGTCCTGGTAGAAATAGGCAGTGCCGGGGCTTACCTGACGGTGCAGCAAAGGCCTGAGAGCAGTCAGGGCTTGGTGACTTAAATACAGTAGGACCTTGGGTCACCTCGGAGATCCATCCCTGAGGCGCAGCGTAATGCGATTTTCGCCCTAAGTTGAACCCACCTATGTAAGCACCTAGTCACTCACATGGAGCACATACACAGCAATGAGTGAAACAGTAAAAAAAATTTAAAGATAATTCCTGACCTTTACTTGTGGTAAATAAATAATAAAAAACATAAAGCACATATGTACATACGTCAAAATGATGGAACTTTTTTAATATAAATAAATGGGATATGGCGATGTAACCACGAAACGACGTACGTGGAGTCCGACATCACCCGAGGCCTGTCTGTAGTTACCTTGGCAAAAGGAGCCAGACATTTTAGACGGAGGGAAGAGAGCAGTGCTTGTGAAGTTAGGGATAAAAACCTGGTGCATTCTGCTCAGGGAAGAAAAGTGACACAGCTATAGATAATATCTGGAACCTGATCAGATGGCTGTCTTAGTCATCTCTTGTTGGGTCAACTCAATAGCAGTTCCTTCTATACAAAAGGATGTTTAAAGCACTTTTTAAAACAAAGAGATTAAGTCTGAGGTGATTGTGAGATAATTTTAGGACAAATTAAGCAGGTTTTATAACTTGTAAATACTGTAATATGAAAATGTTCTTTATTTTTGGGCTTTTTATTTCAAAACTAGTTTTTAAAATGGGTATTTTCTGTCACAGAGAATAAATGAGAAAGAATGGATAGTGAAGTGAACAGTAAATTCACGAGGTTTTCAATGTGCAGTGTATTGAACCAAGTAACCAAACTCCTGTTGCATGCTTATTACGGGCCGCCCAACACTGACTGTGATCCTCAGAACGAACTTAGGAGGTTTGTTTCCCATTTTTCAGCCTGAGGAAACTGGATGGAGTTTAAGTAACTTTCCGAAGTTCATCCATCTAGTAAGTGGCAGAGCTGAGATTTGCGTCCAGGCTCTGACTCAGGAACTCCCGCTGCCAACTTCTATTCTGTATGCTTCTCATAGCTGTGATGTAATTATACATACATGGGTGGTTTTTTAAAAACCACAGGTTTCAGGAGGTATATTGTCTGCAGACTTTATAGTAATCTGGCTGCCCATACCCTGTAATGAGTTATTTTTGTATTTAATATGCTCAGACAAATTTATAAAGTATTACTTGACCCTAAACAAAATGAGCAGTGAACCTCAAATCCACTTAATTAGCTGTGCCTTCTGCTTCATCTACCTTTTTGTTGGGTTTTCATGGTAATTTAAGTTTTGCATAAACATGCGCTAAATTTGCCATAGGCAACATAAAGGCTCTCTCAGCTTAGGAAGTAGTCTGAGCATGAAAAATAGCATGGGGGAAAAAAAAATATTTTTGTTTTTTGATGGTTTATTTGCAAGGCATAATGTTGTGTACAATCTAGTTTGCAGTCTACGTCCAGGGAAAGGCGAGGGTAGTTTAGCCCTACCTAGAAAGTAATTTGCTCAATATTTTCAGTTTCCTGTAGTAGAGGAGAAGATTTAGCATTTATTTTAATTTTATTGTTTTGTAATGAACACTCTTGCACAGTCACCCTCTGAGCAGCCCTGTCAGTTGGAGTTTACCCTGGTTCTGTTTTTGCTCTACCCTTTGCCCGCATGTTCTCCTTCAGTGAGAACATGGCATGTCTATAAACTTCCCTCACTAAGCCGTCCTTACAAGCTATCCAGTCCTTCCCAAGCTTCAGTCCCGTACTTCTAGGTGTTTTCTGGTAACTTCACTCAGTTTTATGCCAAGCAAACTCAAAAGCATATTATTATCTTTCCTTTCCAATTCTATTTTGTATTTGCTACTTGCATACTCTATCTCAGTTGAAGGCATCCCATCCATCTAGTTTCCTCTCTTTCCCACACCTTCACTGCCTTTGCAGTAAAGAATGACCTTTACTCAAAAACAGGCCTGGCATTTTCCCGCAGGTCCTTCGAGGTGGTCTGTAAGTCCTTGCCATACCCTGCCCAGGAGTGTCTGTTTTCCTGGGGGCTTAAGTCACACAGTAAAGTCTGACAGTATGATTTATGGTGAGGGCTCTGGGCCACAGCATCAGGTGGGCCTTGACCTTTGATCTCCAGCCTCTGGAGGGGCCAGCGATCGGCCACATAAGGCTGTCTGTCATCTTTGTATGGCTGAGGCAAAATAAAATGTAGACACTGAGCCTCCATAGTTGGCAGACTCCTATGCGAATTGTCACACACTGTGGCAAGGAAAAGTTATCCTTACTCATGTTTCACTGGAGAGGACAACTGGAAGCTTCATGCTTTGAAATTTTCTGCCCTCTGCATCATGCATCTCTTACCTTGACTGATTTTAATCCATATCTTTTTGCTGTAATAAACCATAACCATAAGCGTGAGTATAACAGTGAGTTCTGTGTGTCCTCCTAGCTAAGTAAACCTGAAAGTGGTCATGGGGACCCTGATCTTATAGTTTGTGTCAGAGCTTAGGGTGGTCTTGGGTATTCCCCTAGGTACTACCACACACCACTACCCTGCCCCCATCCAAGTCTAAATGCCCAACAAATACTTTTATTCTACCTGAGAAATTTCTTAATTTAGATCTCCCTTTGTCTCCACTGTTACTGCTTACTTAGGTCTTCATCATTCTTACCTGGCATATTACAACAGCCCCCAGCATCGTCTCCCACTTGTATTCATCTGCTTGCTTATTTTAGCAAGTACTACATGCCAAGCAATGTCCTAATCACTTTATACATAGTAATATAATCCTTTGTACAAAATTCTGGGGTAGTTGTTATTATTTCCATTTTACAGATAGGAAAGCTGAGGCGCACAGAGCTTAAGTAACTTGCCCAATGATACACAGCTCACATTTGGAAGAGCTTTGGGAGCCGTTTCTTAATGGACCATACTGCATTGTGTCACTACTAGAGTACAGCCTCCTTTGCTCCTCGGCTGTTTGCATTGTTAAGACTAAATATTTATCATGACTAGACAGGGTCGTTTACCTTTTAGGTCCTTTTCCTCTGCCAGGAATGAGCTCCCTTCTTCCTCTGTACAGTGGTTAAAGTGTGGGCTCAAATTTCACTTCTGCATATTACAGCATATGACTTAGCTAAGAGACCTAACATCTCTGTGCCTCACCATTCTTCTCTGTAAAATGGGAAAAAATAGTACCTATTTCATATAGTTATTTGGGAAGGTAAAATGAATTATATATATATATGTATATATATGTATGTATATATATTTATATATATACATACATACATACACATACACATATTTATATATACACACTATTCTAAGCCATATATATATATATATGGCTTAGAATAGTATTTGACATATGGTATGCCCTTGATATGTATTAGTGTTCTTTTTATTATTGTTACTGTGATTATAACCAGTTCTCCATCAAGTTGTCTCATAAACCCTTGGCAAAATTAGTTCTACCTTTTGTGTTTCCATTGCAATTTATTGACACAACTGTTGTAGTTCTTTCAAGCTTGAATTGTCAGAATTTAGTAACTTGCTGTCTCTTCCCTGCCAAGGGAGGGTCTTTAAGAACCAATACCTTAAGATTTGGGCAGGTCATCTACTTATTCACAATTTAGGCAGTGTTTGTTTACCAGGCATTTTGCTAAGCACTGGGGATACAATGATGGATTATATATTCTGCCCTCAAAT